TAATACCAGTGAAACAGGTTTATTTTACTGTTACGTATGTTGCACTTCTCTGACCAAAACCCAGGCTGACAGAAGTGGACAGGGTATAAAGATTTAGAAATGTTTTCATTGTATCTCAAACAAAAAGTTCAGGATATACTTTTATCCATTCAAGATCTTGTAATTGACGAGTCTTTGATTTTGTTCAAAGGTAGACTGTCATTCAAGCTAGTATATAACGAAGCAAGAGGAACCGCTTTGGTATAAATTGTTTGTACTCTGTGATTGTGGACAGTGGCCCTGGTGTTGGAATATTGTTGTCTAAAGGGTAGTAAAAACATTGAAAGATACCAAGATGAGTTATTGGGTATATCAGGTGACGTAGTGAGAAACATGAGGGCACCCTTATCTTGGTACAGGGCCATACATTATATACGATAAAAGGTACACAAGCCCATTATCAGTGCTTTCATGCGAAGTGAACAAGGACAGTGTGTGAGCACCGTGCGTTTCTTATGTAAACCTCTGCCCAGGCTCAACGCAGGTGTTCGTGGTGATGACGTGCAGGTGTTTACTGCCAATGACATCATGGCATTATGGTGGCCATGACAAAACGAGATGTCACATTGTTGACAACCATCCACCGTAATGAAATGCAAGACAGTGGACAAGTTGTCGAGTGAACTAATGAACGTATTCGAAAACAGTGGACAGTGATTGATTATACACAAAACATGCGCTTGGTTGAACAAGTGTGAGCCTGCAGATTGGTTTTGTTGACTGTGTTCGTAAGAGTTACAAGAGGCTACATGAAACTTTTTTCCATCTCATGGACATTTCAATGCTGAATGCATATCAATATGTTACAAATAAGGACTGGTAACAGACACCGTATGGTGAATTTTGTTTGTCTGTTGTCAGACAACTCATAATGAAGTACAGGTGGAAACAACACCTGCAATACAAACATGATCCTCGAATCATCACAATATACCCTAGCGGTGAGAAGAGAAGGTGATCATTTCATAATACTGCTTCCTCAACTCAAAAGAAATTTGCTCAGAGTGTGATTGTCTGTGCACCCAAACAAAACGACGGCCAACAAAAGACGCAAGACACGCGGGTTTATGTGTGAGGAATGTAAGGTGCCTCTGGTGCATGCGTTGCCTTGTTTCAAGGAGTTCCACAAGCTCCTGCAGTTCTAAAACCATGTCCAGTGTTGTAAATATGTAAATATATGATAGAACATTAGTATTTATAACAATATTTGTTTATGCATTGTTTATTGTAAAAACAACGTGGGTAAAACAATAATTGATAATAACTTTAGTGCGGTTATTGTGTTCAATACGTGAGTTTTTTATATATAAAATTATATACAGTATGGTCTCGCAGGCCCCCAGATGTTAGTAAGGAATAGAAAAAAATTGGAAAAAGAAAAGAAAAAACAACTAAAAACAACAAAAATAATATAATACGCGTATGTGGAATTCGTCGATGTTGCCGCCACCACATCATTTTCTACAAACTTCTTGGCACTGTATCTCGGTAAGTACTGATCAGATTCTATTTTTTTTGTTTTATTACCTTCACAAAAATATGCTCTTTAATTCTGTAAGAAAAAATAATTTTTTTTTTTTCAAAATTTCTTGGACACTGGTGCGTGACTTCAGATTTTGGCCTTGGACCCTGAAAGGGTTAAACCTTTAAACTGTCCAAATGTAGATTTATGTTTGTACCACTAGCACTCCAAATGTAGATCTATGTTTTATTTTATCTGCTTTCAAATGTAAAACAAGACGTAGAACTATGTTCGGAGCGCTACGCGAGTAAACGTAGATCTATGTTGGGACAGTTGAAGGGTTAATAACTGGAATGTCTATAGTATTTGTTGTACTCTGTTTATAAATGGGAATTTAAGTATTTCTGGTGGTTGAATGGGTAGGTTCTTGTGATCAGTGAATAGTACAGAACTGGGTCAGTTTGATTATTGTAATAGGCTGTAAATAGGCCTCAGAGGCAAAAATTGCTGTTACATAAAGTGCTCCCCTGCCTCCAAAATTGCACCTCTAATTTCATAAGTATTTCATCAAATTTGACATTTTTGATGTCATTACCTTTAGAAAAAGATTCTCTACCATTCTAGAGTTTTTTTTTTTTTTTAACTTTGAACTCAGAAGGGGCTTTTAGTTAAGGGGGTGTTGACAATTTACAGGTTAATTATTTATTTTATTATCACACCGGCCGATTCCCACCAAGGCAGGGTGGCCCGAAAAAGAAAAACTTTCACCATCATTCACTCCATCACTGTCTTGCCAGAAGGGTGCTTTACACTACAGTTTTTAAACTGCAACATTAACACCCCTCCTTCAGAGTGCAGGCACTGTACTTCCCATCTCCAGGACTCAAGTCCGGCCTGCCGGTTTCCCTGAATCCCTTCATAAATGTTACTTTGCTCACACTCCAACAGCACGTCAAGTATTAAAAACCATTTGTCTCCATTCACTCCTATCAAACACGCTCACGCATGCCTTGCGGGAAGTCCAAGCCCCTCGCACACAAACCTCCTTTACCCCCTCCCTCCAACCCTTCCTAGGCCGACCCCTACCCCGCCTTCCTTCCACTACAGACTGATACACTCTTGAAGTCATTCTGTTTCGCTCCATCTCTCTACATGTCCGAACCACCTCAACAACCCTTCCTCAGCCCTCTGGACAACAGTTTTGGTAATCCCGCACCTCCTCCTAACTTCCAAACTACGAATTCTCTGCATTATATTCACCCACACTTGCCCTCAGACATGACATCTCCACTGCCTCCACCCTTCTCCTCGCTGCAACATTTCATCCCCACGCTTCACACCCATATAAGAGCGTTGGTAAACTATACTCTCATACATTCCCCTCTTTGCCTCCAAGGAAAAAGTTCTTGTCTCCACAGACTCCTAAGTGCACCACTCACTCTTTTTCCCTCATCAATTCTTTTGATTCACCTCATCTTTCATGACCCATCCGTGACACGTCCATTTCCCAAATATCTGAATACTTTTCACCCCCTCCATACTCTCTCCCTCCAATCTGATATTAAAATCTTTCATCACCTAATCTTTTGTTATCCTCATAACCTTACTCTTTCCTGTATTCCCCTTTAATTTTCTTTTTTGCACACCCTACCAAATTCATCCACCAATCTCTGCAATTCTCTTCAGAATCCCCCAAGAGCACAGTGTCATCAGCAAAGAGCAGTTTGTGACAACTCCACTTTGGTGTGATTCTTTATCTTTTAACTCCACGCCTCTTGCCAAGACCCTCGCATTTACTTCTTTTAAACAACCCCATCTATAAATATATTAAACAACCACGGTGACATCACACATCCTTGTCTAAGGCCTACTTTTACTGGGAAAAAAATTTCCCTCTTTCCTACATACTCTAACTTGAGCCTCACTATCCTCGTAAAAACTCTTCACTGCTTTCAGTACCTACCTCCTACACATACACTTGCCAAAAATCTGCCACATTGCCCCCTATCCACCTGTCATACGCCTTTTCCAAATCCATAAATGCCACAAAGACCTCTTTAGCCTTATCTAAAACTGTTCACTTATATGTTTCACTGTAAAACCTGGTCCACACACCCCCCACCTTTCTAAAGCCTCCTTGTTCATCTGCTATCCATTCTCCGTCTTACTCTTAATTCTTTCAATTATAACTCTACCATACACTTTACGGTACACTCAACAGACTTATCCCCCTATAATTTTTGCACTCTCTTTTATCCCCTTTGCCTTTATACAAAGGAACTATGCATGCTCTCTGCCAATCCCTAGGTACCCTTTCCCTCTTCCATGCATTATTAAATAATTGCACCAACCACTCCAAAACTATATCCCCACCTGCTTTTAACATTTCTATCTTTATCCCATCAATCCCGGCTGCCTTACCCCTTTCATTTTACCTACTGCCTCCGAACTTCCCCCCCCACTCACAACTGGCTTTTTCTCACTCCTACAAGATGTTATTCCTCCTTGCCCTATACACGAATCACAGCTTCCCTATCTTCATCAACATTTAACAATTCCTCAAAAATTCCTTCCATCTTCCCAAAACCTCTAACTCTCCATTTAATAACGCTCCCCTCCTATTTTTAACTGACAATTTCCCTTTGTTCTCTAGGCTTTCTTAACTTGTTAATCTCACTCCAAAACTTTTTCTTATTTTCAACAAAATTTGTTGATAAAAATCTCACCCACTCTCTCATTTGCTCTCTTTTTACATTGCTTCCCCCACTCTTTAACTTCTCTCTTTTTCTCAATACTTTTCCCTCCTTGCATCACTTCTACTTTGTAAAAACTTCTCATATGCTAACTTTTTCTCCCTTATACTCTCTTTACATCATTCATTCCACCAATCGCTCCTCTTCCCCCCTGCCCCCACTTCCTGAACCACAAACTTCTGCTGAACACTCTAACACTACATTTTTAAACCTACCCCATACCTCTTCGACCCATTGCCTATGCTCTCATTAGCCCTTCTATCCCCCAAATTTGCTGTTTATTCTTACCCTAACTGCCCCCTTTCTTTTAGTTTATAAACCTTCACCTCTCTCTTCCCTGATGCTTTTATTCTCCTTGTATCCCATCTACCTTTTACTCTCAGTGTAGCTACAACTAGAAAGTGATCTGATATATCTGTGGCCCCTCTATAAACATGTACATCCTGAAGTCTACTCAACAGTCTTTTATCTACCAATACATAATCCAACAAACTACTGTCATTTCTCCCTACATCATATCGTGTATACTTATTTATCCTCTTTTTCTTAAAATATGTATTACCTATAACTAAACCCCTTTCTATACAAAGTTCAATCAAAGGGCTCCCATTATCATTTACACCTGGCACCCCAAACTTACCTACCACACCCTCTCTAAAAGTTTCTCCTACTTTAGCATTCAAGTCCCCTACAGGTTAATATATCACTTATTTGATACATAGGTAATTCTTATTTTGCATTTACAGGTTGTAATCCTTGGAGATGGTGGTGTTGGAAAGTCTTGCCTTATGAATCGTTTCGTCACAGACCGATTTGATGAACATTCCTTCCACACCATTGGTGTTGAATTCCTGAATAAGGAAATTGAACTTGGAGGGGAAACATACACACTACAGGCAAGCTATTCATAATTTTCTTTAATATTGGAAATTTTACAAGATTACAACAAGCAAACAGTTTATAAATTTTTATTGCATGAGCTTATTTTTTGGTAGATTATGCAGTGGCTGGCTAATCACCCATGAAAGAATTAGTCATAATTTCATTGATTTTCTTTTCTTGCACATACCTGAACCTTTGTTTTTTTTGTTTAGTAAGGATGGGAAATAATTTTTATTTTACTAGTTTAGTGTTTCATTGAAATGACAAAGTTCATCAAAGTTCATCTTATCTTATCATCAGTCTTCAGGTTCTGTTAGGTCTTAGATGATGACCTGCCATTGGAGCTTTTCGTCATCTTACCGAGGCCTTCCACTGGCTTACCAGTCCACCCCTTTAAAAATTATCAGTCTTCAGATGTTTTCCTGTTTAACGTTGCATATTCACCTACTATATCTCCATTTAGTTATTCACTGAGGAATCCTATTAGGATTCCTCAGTGAATAACTAAACCAGGAATCCTATTAGGATTCCTCAAAAGCAAGTCAGATTTTATTTCCAAGAATTACAGAGTATTGATTCAGCTCTGGGAATGCATTTCTGTACATTTTTGGAAAAAGCCCCATGTTATGCAAAACATTTTGGGAAGATTAAAACTGTCATTATAAGCTACTTAATACCAATGCAGGTACAATGAACTCTGCTCGTACCATAACTCATAACTGGAGAGTTTGCTAAGGGGTTTACGTTTTTACCCTAGATTTTTTTTTCAACGAAAAAATGGCCGTATCCCACCGAGGCTGGGTGACCCAAAAAGAAAAACTTTATTTTTTTTTATAAATTTAGTATTAAATTTTACAGGAGAGGGGTTGCTAACCTCTTGCTCCCGGGATTGTTTGGGCGCCTCTTACGACACGTGCATGGCTTACAGAGGGAAAAATTCTTTTACCATAGATATTCATGTTTAACTTGATATGCAGGGCAGGGACAATGATTTTGCTATTCACTTACTGTAGTGTTAATTTTTAGGGAAAGTTGGGAGATTAAAAACTCTCTGTCTGTCTGTCTGTCTGTCTGTCTGTCTGTCTGTCTATCTATCTATCTATTTTCTATCTATCTATCTCCTACTATCTATCTATCTATCTCATATTTTATTTCATTCTCTCCCATACACTTTTTTACTATCGAATGCCCTCAGTTTTTCCCCTTCTTCCCCCCTCAGCTTTAATGTAGCTCCTATTTGAGAATTATTATTTATATTCACAGGGGGAAGAGGAAAAGCATGTTTGGGTTTTTTAAAATCACCTAGGTGGGGAATGAGAGGCCATCAGGTTTAATCCAAGGAAGGGGAAGACAAGTTAGTTCCTTTTAATTAAGAGCACCTTACCTACATCAGGGCACCTCGAACGACTAATATTTTACCAAGAGGGTGTATAATTCTCGAGTGGAAGAAAAGGAGAGGTAATAGTCATCCTAGGGAAAGGGTTTGGGAGAAGGGGGTAAAGGAAGTTTTAAGTGCTAGGGCCTTGAAATCCAGCAAGTGTGTGTATTCACCTAATTGTACTCGCCTAATTGTGGTTGCAGGGGATGAGACTCAGCTCCTGGCCCCGCCTCTTTTACTGAGTGCTACTAGGTCCTCTCTCTCCCTGCTCCATGAGCTTTATCATACCTCATCTTAAAGCTGTGTATGGCTCCTGCCCCCACTACCTCACTTGCTAGGCTATTCCACTTTTCCCGACTACTCTATGACTGAAGAAATACTTCCTAACATCCCTTTGTCTCATCTGGGTCTTCAACTTCCAATTGTGGGCCCCCCTTTTTTCTGGGTCTCCTTCTGGAACATCCGGTCGCTGTCCACCTTGTCTATTCCACCAGTATTTTGTATGTTTGTTATAATGTCTCCCCTAACCCTCCTGTCCTCAGTGTCATCAGGTACTGATTTCCTCAACCTTTCTTCGTAGGACATTCCACTAACTATGGAACTCCGGAACTATCCTTGTCACAACCTTTGCACTTTTCTTATTTCTTGACTTGCTTGATCAAGTGGGGTTCCAAATTGGTGCTGCATACTCAAATATGGACCTGACGGTACACGGTTGGTGTACCATGTTCTTGAATGATTTCTTACTAAGGGATCGAAACACTAATCTCAGGTTTGCCAGGGGCCCATATGCTTGCAGCAGATAAATCTGGTTGATGTGTGCCTTTCTGGAGACGGGTGCTCGGTGTTATACTCGCCCCAAGATCTTTCTCCTTCAGCGAAGTTTGACAGTCTTTGGCCACCTAAAGCCTATACTCCATCTCGGTCTTTCTTTGCCCTTCCACGATCTTCATGACTTTGCACTGGTGGGGTTAAATGCGAGAAGCCAGTTGCCTGGACCAGGTGTCCAGCCTGTCCAGGTCATCTTGGAGTCTTCTGATCCTCATCTGATTTAATTCTCTCTATTAACTTCGTATTCATTGCGAACAGGGGACACTTCTGGGTCTAACCCTTCTTCGTGTTCATTTCACATTTACCAGATTAGCACTGGTCCTAGTACCGACCCCTGTTGGGACTTTGTAGTGACAGTAAATGGTCCAAGTCGGACCGAAAAGTCATCGTAAGCTTCTCTTCTTTTATGTGCAGAGTTATTTGTGTATTGTTCCAGTAACAGTATTGTCTTTTTTTTAGTTATTCCTGTAGGACCACCGCCCGTCCACAGGTGCCCACGTGATACCTCTCACGTTACCATGACTCTTTGTTGCCTCCCTGTCAGGTGATTCTCTGATCCATTGCAGCACCCGTCCTGTTATATGTGCCGGATCCTCTAGCTTCTTCACCATCGCACCGTGAGGAACTGTGTCGAAGGCCTTCTTGCAGTCCAAGAAGGATGCCTCACCCACCCCTCTCTCTCGTATTCTTACTTTGTTTACTTATCATTAAAACTCCAGTAGGTTTGTGACACAGGATTTTGCCTTCCATATAACTGGTGTTGGGTGGCATTTATATATCTTGTTCCGTTCCAGGTGCTCACACCACTCTCCCTCCTGATAATCTTTCTTCATCATTTTGCATACTTTGCACGTCAGTGATACTGGTCAATAGTTTAGTGCCTCTTTTCTGTCTCCTTTTTTTAAAATTAGGGGTACTACATTTGCCATCTTCCATACCTCAGGTAGTTGCCCAGTTTTCAAGGGATGTATTGAAGATTGTGGTTGTGACACACACAGCAATTTCTGCTCCCTCTCTAAGGACCATGAGGGAGATGTTGTCTGGTACCCATTGCCTTATGAAGTATCAAGGTCCCTTAGCAGCTTTCTCACCTCTCCTCAGTTGTGTGTATGTCATCTAAACACTTGTTGGTTATTCTTTGTTGGGTCCCCCTCTGTTTGTCCACCTGAGGCTTCCTGTTCTCCATGTACATACTTACCTAAATTCTTGTTGAGCTGCTCACATTACCTCTTGATTGGCTTCTGGTGAGTTCCCCACCTTCTTTCCTCTGCTATCACCTGCTCTTTGACTGTTGTCTTCCTCCTTAATGTGGCTATACAGCAGTTTGGGTCGGACTTGGCTTCGATGCTATGGTTGTTTTCGTACTGTCGCTGGACCTCACTCCTTACCTGTGTTACTTGTTTCCTGGCTCTTCGATAGTCTCTATTTTCCTTGGTCTTTGCTCCTGTATTCGCTTTTCCATTCTCTGTATGATCCTAGTTTTTGCCTCCCTTAAACCTTCGGGTAAACATGGACTTGCTTTGTTTTCCCATTATTTCTATTGCCCTTGGGAACAAACCTTTCCTCTGCCTCCTGCATTTTTGTTTTGTATTCCATCATTTCATTTACTGACTTTTGCCAAATTATCTATCCCACTGAACCTCCGCAGATGTTCCTCATACCTGTGTAGTCCCCTCTTCTTTTTATAGTTTGGCTTTTCCCATCCAATCTGTTACCATCTCTACTTTTAATTTTACTATGTATTCAAACACAGAACCCATGTGATCCACTAGTTCCAAGGGCCTCTCATATGTAATGTCTTTCAATGTCTGAAACTGCTCAGGGTGATTATGTTATTGACTTGTTAATTGGGGTGTGAAGGATTTAGGGAAAAACATATTGACTAGGAATGAATGGAGACAGTGGTTTTTGGGACTGACGAGTGTTGGAGTGTGGCAGGGTGGTGAAGGGTTTCAGGGAAACTGGTTAGCCAGACTTGGAATCATGGAATTGGAGGGAAGTTAAGTGCCTGCACTTTAAAGGGAGGGGTTTTTTTTTTGGGATATTGGCAGTTGGAGGGTCATCTAAATCCCACATATCTGGAGTACCTCTGCAAAGATTAGGTACTATAAGTGATGGTGAGGTGTTGAGTGGTGGTGAAAGTGTTAAGTGATGATTGAAAGTTTTTTCTTTCGTTTTGAGCTTTTTCTTCCTTTTTGGGTCACCCTGCCTCAGGGGAAAAGCCAGTGTGTTAAAAAAAGTGTTTGCTAGGCTGAAGTACTAAGAGATGGGAAGTACAGGCCTACACTCTGAAGGAGGGTCGCATTTGGAATTGTTAAGCTCTGCACACTTTCTGGCAAGACAGCTCTTGAAATGAGCGACGATGAATGTTAACATTTTAAGTAACTCTTCCTCAGTGGGAGGCTGCTGCTGATAAATAATATAATAATAATATTAATAATAATAATAATAATAATTATAATATAATACTAATAATAATAATAAATAATATAATAATTAATAATAATGAAGTTCCTTTAGTGTCTAAGTGTCCATTAAATCAGAATAATGTTAAAAAATAGCAAAAAAAACATACTCTTACTTTATACCTAAGATAGTAGCTACACACAGTTTACAGATATGCTGTAATAAACATTAAAAGTAAAAAAAGCTAAAAGTACAGTGTACCAGTGGATTTTGCTTTAATTTTATAAAGTGGTTTTATTGGAGCGTTTTATATATTTGTTATGATCAGTCTAGTGGGGAAGGGGAGGGTTGGTTGAGGCACAGGTTGTACACACACACACACCACAACCACCACACACA